CACCCCCTAAACACAACAGCCTGGCCTCCCCCACCCCACTTCACCTCTGCCCTGCCCTGGGTGGAGCAGCAAACCCCAAACTCAGAACCTCCAGTTTGGGCTGAGGATCCATGGGGAGTGACCCTGCCCCAGGTGGAGCAGCAAATCCCAAACTCAGCACCTCCAGTTTGGGCTGAGGATCCATCAGGGAGTGACATTGCCCCTCTTCCCTCCTTCCCCCATGTCCATCCCAAACTCAGCATCTCCAGTTTGGGCTGAGGATCCATGGAGAGCGACCCTGCCCCTCTTCCCTCCTTCCCCCTTGTGTCCATCCCAAACTCAGCACCTCCAGTTTGGGTTGAGAATCCATCAGGGAATGACCCTGCCCCTCTTCCCTCCTTCCCCCTTGTGTCCATCCCAAACTCAGCACTTCCAGTTTGGGTTGAGAATCCATCAGGGAACGACCCTGCCCCTCTTCCCTCCATGTCCATCCCAAACTCTTGTACCTCCAGTCTGGGTTGAGAATCCATCAGGAATGACCCTGCCCCTCTTCCCTCCATGTCCATCCCAAACTCAGCATCTCCAGTTTGGGNCCCAGGGGTACAGGATAAACCCCAAGGGTACAGGATGCACCCCACAGGTAAAGGGTAACTCCTATGGGTACAGGATACACCCCATGGGTACAGAATACATCCCATGGGTACAGGATACATCCCACAGGTAAAGGGTAACTCCCATGGGTAAAGGGTAACTCCCAAGGGTACAGGATACAGTATACGGGTACAGGGTGCATCCCATGGGTACAGGATACACCCCACAAGCGTGGGGTGCATCCTACACGTACAGGATACACCCCACAGGTATGGGATCCCTCCCACAGGTACATGATACACCCCACAGGTATGGGACACCTTCCCCAGGTATGGGACACTTCCCCCAGGTACAGGATACACTCCTTAGGATGCATCCCACAGGTACAGAATGCACCCCACAGGTATGGGACACCTTCCCCAGGTATGACACCCCTCCCCAAGTATGACACCCCTGCCCAGTGCCCCCACTCACCCACGCACTGGTTCCACTGGTAGTGCTGCACGTAGCCCTGGGGGCAGCCGCAGCGGTACCCGCCCAGCACGTTCTGGCAGCCGTGCTGGCACCGGTGGTTCCCGTCACACTCGTCCACATCTGCACCCAAGGGACACACAGGGACCTCACACGCTGTCCCCTGGGCCTGGCCTGGCACCCTCCAGGCTGCTCCTGTGCCCCATTCTGGCCCTGCAGTGACACCCCCAGCTCCCACACAGCCCTGATCCCAGCTGAGCCCTGGGCTGTCCCCAGCTCTGCTCTGAGATCTCTCCTGCTGGAATGTGGCACCATTCCCTTCCCCTGAGATCATCCAGTCCAACCCCCAGCCCTGCCCAGACCCCCCAACAACCCCACCCCATCCCTGAGAGCATTTCCCAAACACTGCTGAAGATCCCATCAGGGCTGAGGCTCCTCAGGGAACCTCAGGGTTCCTCCCCATGGGAGCTCCCTGGAGGCCCAGCCCCACCTTCACAGTTGACCCCGGTGCTGTCCAGGGAAAATCCTTTCTGGCACTCGCAGTTGTAGCTGCCCGGGGTGTTCAGGCACTGCCCCTTGGCTCCACACAGCGAGGGCTGGGCTGTGCACTCGTTGTTGTCTGCAAAACACCACCAGCAGGGCTTTGTGGCCACGAAATCCACCTGGAAATCCACCCGGAATTCCACCTGGAAATCCACCCCTG